AAAAAAGAGGAAGAAAGGAGAATATGAATCATTCCGACGAAAATAATAATAATCAAAACTTAAATAGAAAAATAGTTTTTAGTAATAAAACCCCTCAACTAAAGATGAATTGTATAAAAACTCCTCAATTATATACAATAAAACCTCTATATATTAATACTCGATAAATTTATAACCTCTATAAATTAATAAATTCTTCTGGTCCTGAGTTGAGACAAGTGTAAAAAATGACACAAATCGATAAATTAATAAGATAATAACTTTTTTTTAAAATCCTATATAAACATATGGTTCCATCAATATCATAAATTAATAATTGTATATACTTATCAACATTTACATATATTATATGTAAAATATTTAGTGAAATATGACTCTAATATTGTTTGTTTTTCTTAAATTTGTATTAAGTATTGGTAGACTTCAATTCTAAATATTTTACTACATCAAAAAAAGTTAGTGTTATTATCTAAATTTAATAATTATTTTTCTACTTGTAATTTGTTTTAGAAAGATATTGATTATAAAGAAAAAATTTTCTTTTCATATATAATGTTTTTTTTTTAATTAAAAAATTAGTAAAATCTCTTTCTAAATTAGTAACTATTAATTTGTCAATAAATTAATACCTCTGTAAATTAATAGAATTTCTCGGTCCCGACTTTATTAATTTTTAGAGGTTTGACTGTATTTAGTGGAAAAACTCCTCAACTTAATATATGTTAATGCAAATCCTCTTCCCCCTACAATGTCGTAAAAATTTGACGGATTAAACTTAAATTAAAACACATCATTTTTCAGAATCTCACATAATCGACTACGAGACCACACAAACTTCAGAGAATCTCATTTTGATAAATTAGAGTTCGTAAATTTAGGTTTTTAACTTTAAAAATTTTAGAGCTTAGGTGAATTTGGGGATTAATAATCGGGTATAAGAATATTATTTTGTTGTTCTTGTTTACAATTCGTGTATTTTAAGTGTATATATCTCGTTTTTTAATTTCTGAAAAATATTGCATTTAAATTTAACTATAATCCATCTAATTTTCACGACACTGTAGACAAAGGAAATTTGCATTAACTGATTCTAAGTTGAAAGATTTTTCTTCACTAAATATATAATTAGGGATTTTTTTAGGATTCATCTTTAGTCGAGAAGTTTTATGACTAAAAACCAATGTTCAAGAAAGCGCTAGGCACTAAACGAGCGGTGAACCTGACTAAAAACCTAAGCGCCTAGCGCCTAAAGCGCCTAATCGGAGCCTAGGCGATTTGTAGGCGGCTTAGACGTTTATAACGTAAAACATTATAAATATATTATTATATATCAAAATTATATAAAATATCTATATAAAACTAACAAAACATGAAATTATAAACAAAAACTAAATAAAACATTTATTTATATTTATATTAAACATTATATGGATATTTATAACTATATATAGAGAAATAAAACTTAATTGAAATTGAAAAAATACATTAAACAAGATCTATGTAATTTCAGGCGGTCAAGACGGTTATCTAAGCGTCACATAAGAGCTTAGCGCCTAGTCGAGCTCTAGACGACTGCCTAGACCACTTTTTAGAACAATGCTAAAAACTAAAAAAAAAAAAAAACAATCACATTCCTACGCAACTTTTAAAAAATGCTGGATATGAAACCAGGCCCACTAGCAGGCCCACTAGAGGTTTTGATCATCATTCATTAGGGTTTATACGGAAGCCGAACGGTTTGATGGTAGGCGTCATTCCAATTTGACAGTTTGTCTCTGCGATTCCGATTTTAGATAACTTTGGGCGTTTCCGATTTCCGATAGCTTACGTTAGTTACGTACACTGGAATCCACAGGTTTTCTTTTCTAGGGTTTTGTCTCGTTCCTATGATTGTAGCTGTGTTTTCTCTAATTACTAATTCGTTTTCTTGGCTTAAGACAAAATCTCAGCTTTTTAATGGGTTTTGTCTTGTGTTTCTCTGTTTTCTTTTTCAGTAACAGTAACTTGAATTTGAAAGATATGGACATCAATGGATTGCATGATGACTTGCTCGTGAAGATATTATCGTTTCTTCCAACAGAAGTTGCTGTATCCACTTGCGTTTTGTCTAAACGATGGGAGTTTCTTTGGATGTGGTTGCCTAATCTCGAGTTCACACCTCTAAAATACCCAATGCCTGAATTTTGGGAATTTATCAATAAGAAGCTGCCGTTACATAAAGCTCTAGTCATTGAAACATTGCGTCTCGACACAGCTTGGTCCTCATATATATACTAAACCTAAAGATATCAAACGGTTGATTGATATCGCAGTTTCTCGCCATGTACGTGAGCTGGATATTGAATATTATTGTTCCAGGACTGAAAACCTATTTAGCTTGTTTACCTGCAAATCGCTGGTGACCTTGAAACTCAAATTCATAACTCTCAAGGATCTTCCCTCTAGGGTTTATCTTCCCTCTCTGAAAACTTTTCTACTTGAAACTGAGTCGTCTTCCACAAATGGAAAATGTCTTCAACAGCTTCTATCTAATTGTCCTGTTCTCGGAGATCTATCGGTGGATTTTTCTTACATTAGAACTTTAAGAGAGTTCACTATTATTGTCCCCTCTTTGCAGAGTTTATCACTCTTTTTACAAGGTAATTGGAATTTAAATAGGTATGAGATAGATACTCCTTCTTTAAAGTATTTGAAACTTGTGGATTGGAATAACGAGGGACACTACTCTTTGATTAAGAATATGCCTATGCTGAGGGAAGCATATGTCGATAATGAATCAATTAATCCCAAGAGTGTTATTGGATCAATCACATCTGTCAAGCGTCTCACAATATGTTGTTCAGAGGTAAACTAGTTTTCATTTATCAATTGCGAGACACTACAAGAAAACCTGCGTTTTGCAACTAAACTTTGCGACCAAACTTTTAGTTGCAAAATTGTGTGACTATTTTGTGACTAATGTACGACTTTTTACCGACGAATTCAAACACAGTTGGAACTTAGTCGGTATTCGGCGACTAAAACAAATAGTCGGTAATTAGTCGTTCATTAACGACGGTTGTGCGTCCGATTGCAGACTAATTTGTTTCAGTCGCAAATACGTCGCATCCGATTGCACATGTGCGACTGATTTGCGACTCAAAATTTGGTCTGAAAATATGGTCGCACTTTAGTTACTCGTTCGTTGCAAACTAGTTGGTAAAAGTTGGCTCTTTTGTTGAACCTATAACACTTTTATTGATGTTTTGCAATTTAGTAAAATATCTACATTACTTGAGTTTTGCAAAGTTTTTCAACCTTAAAATAATATATGTCCTCTATAACACTAATATGAGTGTTTGTGAGTGATATATATCAGCCTTTTGGATCAATATAATAGATAACAGTCACAAAACAGTCGCAAACGTGCCACCATTTTGTAACCAGTGTTCATTTAGCGACTATTTTGCGACTAATATTGCAACTATTGGCCGACCAATATTGCGACTATTTTGGTACTAATTGTGAAATTTCTAAGATTTTTGCTAAGTGTTTGGTCGAACTTAGTAATAAGATTCATGCACACCAAGTGTTCGTTAAAATGTCCTAACCAATGACATCTACAGATCCATTTTAAAACCAAATTCAATTGATGAAAATAGTACAAGACAATCTCATAAATATTACAAGTTCAAGTTGGAGTTGCTTAAAGTCTCATAAATAATATTACATTACAACATTACACAAACTAGAATTCTTATGCAAAGAAGACATAGTACACTATAGCCATGACCAAACCACCACACACAACCATATTTTTGAAGCTTCGTAACTCTTGTACCTCTTTCTCACACAAACTGACGACATCTTTGAGATATACAATCTCTTTCTCACATCTTTGTGCCCTTTCTTTGATAGCTTCAAGCTCATGTAATCCTTTTTCTAAGCTTCCCACATCTCCTTCTATCTTCTCAACCACACTTTCAACCATTTCCATCTCTTCGACCATGGATATGTCGGTCCACTTAAACAAATGATGCTTATTCTGCAACAAAAATACACTCATGAGGACAATTTGCATATGTTCATACAACTTGAGAGCATATCATAACCAAAAAGATCACATTTTTACAACGTACAACAAAACCTAAGCAGCTAGAGAATGTGAAACTAAGATCAACGTATACAAATTACGAAAGGTGAGAGATAAACCAATGTCTCGAAGCAAGATCGAAAGCTAAACGCAAATTCAAATCAAGAGAAGCTTTGTGTACCTTAAGATTCTATAACTTAAGAAAACATTACCTCACCAATGTCTCGAAGCAAGATCGAAAGCTAAACGCAAATTCAAATCAAGAGAAGCTTTGTGTACCTTAAGATTCTATAACTTAAGAAAACATTACCTCCTCTGATCCGTTTGGACAACAATGAAAGAGTCTCCCCGGATTTTTCAAAGTGTTTGAAGTCTTAATCACAGAGAATTGACCACATTTACATTGTCTTGGGATCCCTCTTCCTCTCACAGAGAACCTATCGCTCACACCTTCACCAATCCGCAAGAAATTAAGTATCTATCAAAATCTACATAAAATCAAACCCACACCTTACATTCTCGATTACTGACCTGAAGAAGCTGATGAAGACATCGGGATCAACACTTATGAAGCTCAGCAGAAATTGGGATCTTTAGAACCCTAGCTTTTCACATTTTAAATTTGCTTACATATAAAGTTAAACATTGTGGCCAAAGATTAAGAAAGGGACGAAATTGAAACTGAGCAAACATAAAAACAAAAATTGGAAATCTGTCAGACCTTACTACAAATTCGTGACTGAGCAGTGGACTAAGCGATATGAAAATTTTATCTGTGAAATTGCTCGAGATGGGGTGACGAGTGTTCCTGAGGTGAGTTGATTATTTAAGTTGATTTTTTTGGTTGTCTTTGTGTACTTCGTATTATTGTCTTTGTCTCCGTAATAACAAAGTTTTATTAGGGAGGAAGAGTTGCAAGTGGGGATATTCTACTTGTCATTCTTTTCAAATTGAACCTGAGAGGCCTTATTTGGTCGAAGAGTATGAAGAGGCACATAGCAGCGAAATGGAGTGGGAGCTGCCGGAGGCGAGAGATACTCCCTCCACTCAGGTGACGTTTATTCTCTTTTTTTTAGCACAAATGAACTTTGAACTCCCCTTGGTTTGATGTGCATTATGTGCTCTCTCAAATCCGAACAGTTTGGTTATCCGCTCATTGCCTCTAATTTTACTCTGATTTGATTGTGGAGAATCAGGTTGAAAGACTTGAAGAGAATCAGGTTACGAGTGTCCCTCCTCTGAGTGTTCAAGCAACAGAGGACTACGAAACTATGGAGCCGGAGCGACCGGAGGTGACAGATACTCCCTCCACTCAGGTGACGTTTATTCTCTTTTTTTAGCACAAATGAACTTTGAACTCCCCTTGGTTTGATGTGGTCTCTCAAATCCGAACAGTTTGAGGACTACGAAACTACAGATACTCCCTCCACTCAGGTGACGACTGTCCCTCCTCGGAGTGTTCAACTTACGACTGTCCCTCCTCGGAGTGTTCAAGTTACGACTGTCCCTCCTCGGAGTGTTCAAGCAACAGAGGACTACGAAACTGTGGTGCGGGAGCTGCCGGAGGTGAGGGATACTCTCAAATCCGAACAGTTTGGTTATCGCTCATTGCCTTATTTAATTGTTTACCTCTAATTTTACTCTGATTTGATTGTGGAGAATCAGGTTGAAAGACTTGAAGAGAATCAGGTTACGAATGTCACTCAGAGTGATCAAGCAAGTAAAGGAAGAGGAAAAAGGATAAAGAAGCCAAATGTATTATTTCAAGATTTTGTCCTTCTAACACCTGGCGTGACTGTCAAGAAAGTGACTCGCAAGAAAGTGACTCGGAGAACCTGAAAGTGACTGTATTACTTCGTTTTCTCACTTTCTACGAGTTCTTTATTTTTCTCTCTTTAAGGTTGAATTTTATTATTTTCTTGTATCTTATGAACAATGTACATTAACTTCTCTTTTTTTTTGTGTTTTTGTCTCTGCTTTAGGAGTGCATATCAACGGTCTGTGCTCGTTTTCTAACCTTAGGATAGTTTTTGGGATACTCTATCACAAAATAGGTAGTTATGCATCTTTGCAAGTGTATAACTTTAGGGGGATGTATTGGATGAAGAATTTTAGATGATTTTGGTTTTTTATTAAAATCCCCTGTTATTCAACTGTTGATTTTTAAATTTGTTCTCAAATCCTATGTTATTGAAGTTGGAATTTATATAAAATCACTTAAAATAATTCACAATCTCTTGTTATTCAATCAACAATTTGTAAATATCATACCAAATCCACTGTTATTCAATGATTGTCTCCGATGTCTACAACAGAGACTGCCTTGATAATATTTGAAGATTAAGTTGGAAGAATAGGAAGAACCATGATGAGAGAAAGAAGATGTATTAGATTGATAAGAGTTAGAGTTACAAATGGAGGCACACTTTAGTATTTATAGAGAACAAACTCTAGGTCTAAGGGGGTGTGTACAAAGACAATCATACCCTCTCTTAGCCTTGTAACCCGAGTAACCCAAGTAACCTGTAACCCGAGTAACCCAAGTAACCTGTAACACGAGTAACCCAAGTAACCTGTAACCCGAGTAACCCAAGTAACCTACATTTAACCCTTAACTAGGACTTAGTTAGTGTTAAATGTCTTCTTGATTAACACTCCCCCTCAAGTTTATACCACAATGCCCAATTGTGTATAAACTTAACACTTGTATGAATAACCTCATTAAAAACCTAAGCTTGGCACAGGTTCTCGATCTCTAGTTCCGAAATATCCGAAAATATTTAAAACTTTGTTTTTATTGGTTATAAAAACATTGATTCGTGGTATGATAAGTTCCTTACATAAATCTTTGTTTTCAAAATAAAATATTTAATATGTTTCTATAAATTGTATTCTTTTCATTCTATCGCTAAATTTTTTTAAAACTTTTTAATGTATTTTTAATTAACTTAAATTTTAAATTATTAAAATATTGATTAAATTTTTTATTTTTTGTTGAGCTAGAGTTCTGTGTATAAATAACAATGAAGAGCACATTCGTGTATTTTAAATTTTCGGGTCGGGTTCGGGTTAGGTTTTTTCAGGTTCGGGTCGGTTTTTACGGGTTCGGGTCAGTTCTCATTTTTACAGTAAAATCAAATAAAGTAAAATCGATTTAGTTTGATAATTTTTACTCATATCTCTTTGTCCACAGAGATTTTTCTCGCTCTATAAACAATGATAATTAGACAAAATAGCAGTGAGATAATCAAAAGTAAGGTGAACATTTGGGCTTAAGGTAAACCAACACACTCTTTTTCCCTCAATGTGGTTTTTGTCCCAAGTGGTTTTCCATATTGAGGTTTTTAATGAGGTGGTGCTAGTGAGCTCTCCAAGCTTAGCCTTTTGGGTGGTTCCAAAGTCTAAGCTTGAGGGTGAGTATTGACCAAGCAATGTAGTTGAGGCATATAGTCGACTATATCATAGTGTAGTTGAAGCATGTAGTCGACTATATCACAGGACTAGTAAATGATCTCTAGTGAGCTCTCCAAGCTTAGCCTTTTGGGTGGTTCCAAAGTCTAAGCTTGAGGGGGAATATTGACCAAGCAATGTAGTTGAGGCATATAGTCGACTATATCATAGTGTAGTTGAAGCATGTAGTCGACTATATCACAGGACTATGTAAATGATCCTTATTTATTTATCGCTTTCTTTCTACTAATAAATTTTTTTACCGTTTTATTATCACCGATCCGTAGGCCTGGGCGTTCAGGCCCCCAATCGGGTTCGGTTCGGTATCGGTTCGGGTTCGGGTTTTGAAATACCGAAATTCTAATCCCATTCGGATATTTTAAAATTTCGGTTCGGTATCGGTTCGGGTTTGCTCGGGTTCGGTTCGGGGTTAGTAACAACTATTTAACTCGGTTAAATCCGAAATATTGTTGGGTTTTGTCAAAATTCGGATTGTCATACTCATTGGTTCGGATCGAGTTCGATTCTTTTTAGCCATATATACTTAAATCTATTCGAATTATTAAAAAATATCCAAAATAAACGAAAAATACTAAAATATGAATTACTTTTTATCCCAAAGTACCTAAAATCACCCAAAATATATGGAAAAATACTAATATATTAGTTATTTTTCATATAAATATATCTGAAAATACTCGAGTTACTCAAAAATAAATAACATATTCAGATTTATGATTGTAAATTTGAGTATCGAAATATTGTAGCTATTTTAGTAGATATTTACAAGCCAACAATTTTCAGATATCCAAAATATTTCGGGTTTTTTTTCGAACTTGGTTTTTTAGGAATATAGAACTCGATCGGGTTTTTCTTAGTGTTCGATTTGCCAAACATTTTTTAGTGTTCATATTTTAGAACACAAGAAATATCGAGTACTTCCGTAATGTTGTCCAATTAATGGTCTTGTTGTCTATTAGAACCTATTTTATGTCTATTGGAACTTCTGAAATGTTGTCCACTTAATAGTTTTGTTGTCTATTGGAACCTATTTTAGTTCTATTGGAACTTCTGAAATGTTGTCTACTTAATTGTTTTGTTGTCTATTGGAACCTATTTTATGTCTATTGGAACTTCTGAAATGTTGTCCACTTCATGATAATGTTGTCTATTGGAACCTATTTTATGTCTTTTGGAAGTTATCTCTTGTTTGTCCACTACAAGGAGAATGTTGTCTACGAACACTTCAAATACGGAAGTTATCTCTTGTTATCTCTTTTTTTTAATTGATTTAATTAAATGTGAAGCATATGCCATGTGTTCAATTCTGTTTTGTTTTTTCCGATGATCACTTTTTTCTTTTGTAATTATTGTCAAAATAAATTGTTTTTGCTGATGTGTCAAATTCTTATTGGTAGAGTGACTTGTGCTTTATAAGATAAAAGATACTCCAGCGATAACTGCGAGAAATTTTTGATTTTCGATTTATTTTGTAATACTCCAGCAGGCGCGTTGACATCGCGCGCGTGGATGACGACGTTCGCGCAGAGAAGGGCAAACACGTCAGTTCATGTGTGGCCTGTGGCATTGGCGTTTTTGTTTTGTCGCCCAATTTTGTTTGGTTATGTTGCCCAACTCTTTTATAAAAACTTAGTTGTACCGAAACATAAATATGGGGTTATCCATACATTATCCTAATGAAAGACAAATAAAACAAAATATGGAGTTTTTTTTTTGTCAACACAAAATACGGAGTTATCCAACCATTTATATAATTATTTACCACTATTGAAATTTAAAAATTTTATAAAAAATTATAAAAGAAAATCTAATTCTAACTATTTTAGAAGTCTGAATATTTATTTTCAAGGTATCAAAATATGGGAAAATTTTCCGCAGAGGATCAACAATGTTTCATAATCACATTTTCAATGTTATCATAATTATACTCAATAAGTTCTTTCAGCAAAACTAACTTACTTAAAAAAATTTATGACACAATTTTATAGATTCCATAAAATTGTAAGTAAACTTATGTATAAGATTTTATTGTACATCTCCAATCTTCGGTTTTAGGAAAATGATACCCATTCGTGTATTTTATAAAATCGGATTCGGTTTGGTTCAGATAATTTCGGATCGGGTTCCATTTGATTTTTCGGTTATGTATATTTTGCCCACCACCCCTACCTGAAACCACATGAATCCCGGTAAAAAAAACCGGTTTAATCCACTTGAATCGAACCGGGATTCGATTTGCTCTTCCTCTCTCTCGCGATTTAAAACGAAAAAAAACACTTTCCTTTTTTTCTCATTCTTTTTCACTTCTCCATTGAAAACCTTTACAAGCTTTTGAACTTCAATTCATCACATCTTTTTCAATTCTTCACGGATTTGAACGATTTTTGGCTTGTTTTCATACGGATTGTCACCCTATATCCATTGCCCATAACGCCGTCCTCGATCTGTTAAGGTATGTGCCTCGATTTCTCGTTTTTCAGTCCGAAAATCAATTGTTTCGTGAGGTTCGATTTCTCTTCTCTCATTCACAGTGTGTTCTTCAGTTGTTTATGACTTCCTGAACTGTCAATGAGTTAATCATGGGTTTAATATGTATCAAATTGAAGCTTATAATGAACCGTTTAGAAGAAGATACGTTTGGATATTTACATAGGCTAATGATGTGTGTTGCTATCTGTATCTAATTTGTCTTTAAATTATGATGTGAGAGATTCAAGACATAGAAGAAGAAGACAAACGTGAACGTCTTTAAATTATGAAACCTCTCTCTTAAAGTTCTCACCTGTATTGAGATTTTCTCTCTTGAGGTGTTCAACAATGGCGGATCAATCTCTTCTACACTCTCCGATCAAACCACATTTCTTCAAGCCTCTTCTTGAAGGCTTTCGCACTCACCTCGTACTCTGTTCTACTCTGTTTTCTTATATCTCAGAGCATGTTATTGCTAAACATAGTTCATTTGTTTAGTTTTTGTTTGCATGTTTGTTTCAGAACATTCCTGTTGCTTTCTTCTCGAAGCATGTTGAAGGAAAAAACGATCAAAACAAGACTGTGAACCTGAGATCAGACGCGTCAGAGAAAACTTGGTTAGTGAAGATGGACGGTTTGAATTTAACCGACGGGTGGGAAGATTTTGCCTTTTCACATGATCTCCGAATTGGTGACATTGTCGTTTTCAGACATGAAGGAGAAATGGTGTTTCATGTCACAGCTTTAGGACCAAGTTGTTGTGAGATTCAATATTATACATCATCTCATAACATCAATGATGATGATCGTAATGATCAGACCAATATTGGTAAGCTTTTGCTCTCTGAAATGACAGCGCAAAAGCTAAC